TTTTTTTCTTTCCAGGTAAGATTGGATCGCAAGCTCAAGCCAGGTTATTACTTTGGGGGAGTGGGAGGGGTTCGTACAAAGGCATCATTTCGGCATGAATTAATCCCTGGCGCGTTGTTGACTTTTCTTTCGCGATATTCCTTGCACCAAACCTTCTGTTGGTTATTCCCTGATATACTGCGTACGTAATTTCTACAATGCGGCCCTATGTGCCACGTGGCACGAAGGGGATAGTTAGCGGTTAGTTAATTTCTTCAATCTTGGAAAAATTGTGCACGCTTTATTTGTCTCCCGGCTTTTGGTCAAGTTTTTAACTGGAAAAAAATATGAAACTACACACCGAACAATTAAATGCCGACAGTTGATCATTTTTTGAGTATCTGATTCAAGAAAACAGATCCTTATTTTCGGCTTTATGGTTAACTTACTGCAATCAAGAGCTCCCCTTTTAGGCTTGTCTAAATCTATATAGTTTTAGTATACAATGGACACTAAACAAACTTATGTTATCCATATGTTTTATTTTTATTGCAAGACATTCTTCGGAATTATGTATAGCCAGCTCCACGAGGTTTCGCACTAGTTTGCTGAAGAGAAAAGTAGGGCAAAGAATGATAGCCAACTGTTTGGGATTAATGGCTCCAAATATGAGGACTTCTAATCTTTTAAAATCCCTTCAGGAAAGGTGGGGTTGAAATTTCTGCCACACTAAAAAGTAAATAATAAATAGTCATTCCCCAAGTCGTAAGTGGGCATCGGAGGTGATGGGTAGTTCACAGGATAGTGATGATCGTAGGTAGGGCCGCATGTGACAGATAGCATGTCCTTTAGCTGCACCTTGGACACGTGCACAGACTGCTGAATAACAGTAAATGCTTCGCAATAAAATGACGTTATGCTTTCAGTTTTTCGTCATGACGTCGTCATATTTGTTTTACGCACTTAACTTCAGCATGAATTCAACTTTTCGGTCGCCCGTTACTTGAAAATGGTGCCATGATGTCGCCGAAACGTCGTTTCCTGTTTTCGGTTGTTTTCCTTAAAAATACATGAATATAATGACAGTTTCGTTTCGCTACTCAGTTAGTTTAAATGTAGAACGATGTTTTATCTGCAAACAACTGCAACGGAACAGACACTGATTTATACAGAGGACAATTCATTTTGACTGAACTTCAACTGAGTCCTACAAGGTAAAAAATTAAAGAGAAAAACAAGCCCTACAAGGAAGAACTACAAACAATGCATGAAGTTAGAGCGAAAAAAACTGACATCTAATTAAAAATCATGTAATCATGCTTCATAGAGGGGAGAGGTTACGAAACCCGAAAAACTAAACTGATGGTACAAACAAAGATGCCAAAATTTATGTTGGAAGGTCCAACCAACCTGTACAATTTTGGTTACACATGAATTATTCACATAAAGGAAACGCTTCTATAAATCTGTTACTTGCTCAGACAGAAGAAACAGTTATTGTGTTTCCCGCGCTCAACACCAAAATGCGAGCTAAAACAAATAACAAAAAGGTTTGCCAGGCTTCATAACCATTCCCCTTTATCTTAAATATAATATGATGAGATTTTGTGTGATTCTTTTATAAAGGAAAATATTATAATAGCTGCTGGATAAACTAGTTTGTAATAGTACGAAGTTTTTTTTCTGTAGTGCCAAACAAAGCAGTTTCATTATTAATTTAGAACTTACAATGCGTTTTGACTTTTTGACGACAAAACGGATTTCATCCGACATAAAAGCAGGAAATACGATTGCAAATCAAGCTGACACCACTCAATGATAAAAAAGAACCCAATAAACCTGTTTTTTCTCGTCAAACAAGTTGTAAACATCCACCTTTTAGTCAATGACAATGTGAAGCTGACAGAGGTAAATACGACTCTCTAAAATCCCATAGAATCTGTTGTACAGCCGACAAATGGTCACAAATGTATATTGCATGTGCTTTCCACTAATAAGAGTCCGGCGATTTTTTTGTCGTACCCATGCTAGTAACTTCCTTGGCATCAATATGGTAACAGCCATAGGGTAATTCTTATAAAGAACGTATCGGAACTAAAAGCATTCTTCTAAATTTCAATTATACTAGGAGTTATAAACTTGAATCTCAACTAGAAGTGATATTTGAATTTTGATAACAGCTGTCGAACTATTGTGCAAATCTTCCAAAGTCATACATAAGTCATGGAACAGACTGCCAGGGAAATGAAAGCACACTTTTCAGTTTTAAATCATACTCAGTTGGAATCAAATACACGGATGTGATCAAATGAATTTGACAATGCAACATGGCAGGAGATTTCACATGGACAGTCTGACTTACCCTGCTAGCAAAGCAGTTTCGCCTGGCGGGATAATTTCCTCCATTACTGTACCTTTCAATAATATGTGGACTCTAAAATTCAAAGCTCAACCGACAAATGAGTTTTTCGCTACATTCAATCAAATGTTCGGCGGCTCCTCCCAGCTTCCGACTACTGCCGAGCACTGTTTCGTTGTCTGAACTGTGCTCAACGATTTGATTACTGCGCGCTCGGCAGTAGTCGGAAGCTGGGAGAAGCCACCGAACATTTGATTGACGGCAGCGAAAAACGCATTTGTCGGTTGAGCTTTGAATTTTAGAGTCCGCATGTTATTGAAAGGCGCAGGAAAGTAAAGCCGCATCGCATCATTCAATCCTGATTGAAACAGTGCTTCCGCAAATTGCCGTGTTGTGCATCATTCAGCACGACTGTTCTTGTAGTCGTGTAACAAAGTTTACAAAGTTGAACATGGGAGTTACTCAGCAAGATGGAAACCGAAGCTCTCAGGACTCTCAGGACCCGTTCTGTTCGGCAGCTTTAAGACAAACCAGTGTATTGTGGTTCCTTGCAGCCTCTAATATTTGGCTTGCCATCACCTCAACGTTAGGTAACACTGTAATCTTGGCTGCTCTTTCCAAGGAGTCGTGCCTTCATCCACCTTCCAAGATCTTGTTACGTTCACTAGCGCTCACTGATTTCTTCTCTGGGATTCTCGTGGAGCCACTTTTTATTGCGTTCTTAATTACCGTAGAATACGAAAACTTTGGCATTTGCAATTCCATTTTTAGGATTGGTTTCTTTACCGGACTATTGTTATTTTTTGTATCTTTGTTCACACTGACAGCAATCAGCGTGGACAGACTTCTCGCCTTGTTACTGGGCATAAGATACAGACAAGTGGTTACTTCTAAACGAGTTCTACGGGTTGTGATCTCGTTTTGGATTCTGACCATCGGACTTTGTTCAGCAGGGATTTTGAAGGACAGGATTGTTACATATTATAGCTCCATAGCTGTGCCATCGTGCTTAGTCACATCTGTTTGTTGTTATATAAAGATCTACCATAAACTTCTTCGTCATCAGACTCAAATATACGTTAACCAAGGACAGCCGATCACACATGCGCAGTTGAACATAGCACGATACAGAAAAACAGTATCCAGTACATTGTGGGTACAGTTTTCAGTTCTCGCATGTTACCTTCCTTTGTGTATTGTTATAACATTAGCGGCTGTGAAAGGAGTAACTTTATCTCTTACTGTCGCTTGGACGTTTTCATCAACACTGATGTTATTTACCTCAACTCTGAACCCGATCTTATGCTGTTGGAAAATGAGAGATGTGAGACGAGCGGTCATAGAAACTATTAGGCAGATATCGTGTTTTTAGCAAATTAAATCTTGTTACTAGAGCCAATAACTAACATTTACTTATTTATAGCCGTCTTCAATTGAGTGTCCGAAAACCAAAACAAAGTATTCTCTCTGGTCAATCACAACGGACACGGGCAATCCAGTGAATCAATCAAACGTCCAGCAAATACCTGTAGCCGACGTCGAGCGCGGGAAAACAAGTGCGAGAAATTGTTTCACTTCTGATCGGTTGAGAAAGTTGCTCGAGTCAATTTTTCTTGATCAAATTAAGCAAATGCGGAGACTTACTTTGGTCACTTGAGTGAAAACTATCAAGAAGGAATCCACCAAAAGTTCGACTGACTAACAAATGGACAAAAACTTTGTACCAATATTATTTACATTGTATTGCAAACATCTGTACGACTGTTTTAAATATCTTCTCAAAAGAAATTATTTCTAACAACACCAAATGTCGAAAACAAATTTTGAAGTTACTATAAAACACTTGAAAGTACTGGTGAAATGACACTGATGATGACATTTTACCTGTGTTTGTACAATTTCTCTGAACTTTGAAATTTATTTTCACGAGTTCCCATGAAAAATTGTTTTGGGGATTATTTCAGGCAATTATTTATCGCTTTAGCTTTTAGAATATGCAAAAAGGATTTTAATAAACTTAACATCTTCTGGTAGAAGATTTTTGACCACTAATAACAGTGACTGAAATTGCTCGGATCTCGTCTTAACTACTCTTTATTTCCGAGGTAAACTTTCCAGATACAATGTATCTAGTGATTTAATTAACCGAGAGAGACCTTGTCGTATTGACCGAGTGATACTAAGGTCAATATGCCAAGGCCGAGGTTTGAGATTTTCCCGTTAGGTCCGAACGTTCGAGGTTAATTATTTGTTTATTATATAGCTTTTTGCTTTGCTTTTGCAGGCCCGTAATCGGCCCATGGGTATTAGGGAGAGCAATGCCCTAGAATTAGCCAATCAGAGCGTGTGTTATATCGGCTACAAACCCAAGCCGTGTGATAAAAATGAGTATAAAGACAAATTAAAAATTAATGCAAACGTCTCCTCTGGAATTTTAGCATTGAGTTCAAAACTACAACCGTTAACTACAAAAACATTATATATGTAAATAACAATTTCCAGAACACAAACTTTTTGCGAGTAAACTGATTAAGCAACGATTAAAAAGCCATCCATGTTGTAATTATGATTATTCAAATATGAATCATTGGATAACGCAATTCGAGTGTTAACTGGCTTAGCCATCACAGCATTACAGCATTTACACCACCCTCTTCCAATATGGTACGAGTAATTTTTGGGGGCGTTTTAACTTTTATTTTATTTTAGTTTCCTGAATTTTGGGACACTCAAACATTGTACTTCAGGATGCATTTTATCGGCTGGAAACATAAGATGAAGTTTGTCGTGTTTTCAGATATGGAGACCTAGCACCCAAAACAATTGCTGGTAAACTGCTGGGTCTTGTGTGGATGTTAGCAGGACTTATCATCACCACCATGTTCATCAGTATCATCACTACATCAATGACGTCAGTCAGTCTTGAAGGACGAACCAACCTTCGAGGGGTCACGGTAGGTGGGGGTTCAGAACGGACAATCAAAAAGAGCAATTCGTTTCAGGAAGTTTACGTAAACCAGATACGTTTAAAACTCTCCTCGAATATTAGATCATCAGTATAGTGTAGAATACAAATATTGTAAATTAGTTTTGAAAACGCTGGTTGGAATAAACCATTAATGTTGTGTCCTTTTCACTGATTCGTTTGGGCGCTTTTTCCAAGTGACTCAAGACATAACAAATTACGCACGGAACAATGATACCAGAAAACAGGATTAATGGGAATATGAGGAGATGAAGAGAAGAAATACAGAACGCAATGCCCGAATTCGAATAGCAACGTAGCAGAGTTGGGTAGAGTCAATCGGTCTTGAAAGGGGGTTGGGAGCTAGGCGAGAAACCAATGAACATCTCGGAGTGAAGTCCTAACTTTTTAGAATCCCTTAAACTTGTCATTTTCATAAATGAATTCATGGCAGGTGTCAGCTGTCAATCATAGCGAGGAACACAAGCTCGGGATTCGTGAAATTGCAAATGTGAAAGGTTAGTCTCATGCCAGTTCACAATTCAAATTTCTTGCTTTAGGAGTTTGACAAGAGCTGAGGAGCAGAGGAAGAAATGCATCAACTTCGAATGCGGAATACCACACTGAACAGCTGGGCTTTCTCGATGTCGTTTTTTTAACACCTTATGATCTATCTAATTTTTAAAAGCATATTAACATTGAAAAAAGTAATGAATATGTTGTAGATCCTCATAATAAAGAATGATGTAATTTAAAAATCCCAAAATTTTCATCATTTGTTATGTTAACCAGCTCTCGCCAGCAGTGATGGAGTGTTCCAACATCTACTAGACCGCCATGTAGAAGGTGCTTTAGTGGATGTACACGGGCTTAAACATCATATCAACGCACTTACTCAACATAACATACAGGTATGCAGCGTTCATTCTTGTTGCTCTATCAACTTTTCGATTGTCATAATTTCCAAGGTAAACACTGTTTTCTTCATTTCTCGACAGGTAGGGAATATTCTCAACAGTCACGTGACGTATGGAGCAATTCTCCCTCTCAATTCCACTCACTTCCTGCGATGCTTCAAAGAATACGTACAAACCGAAGAGCAATGGATTTTTCACATCCTGGCAGAAAATACGGGAACCACTCAGGTCAGTACAAGATGTCTTTACGGCAAAACATGTCGGGATTTTATGAGAGGACTCCGGGGAAAGGGACTGTCTTAATTAAGAACGTAAGCAAGAGAATTTTGTATTACATATATTTTTTTCTTCAAACTTTCACTGCAGTTAAATAATGAATTACTTTTGTCAGAAAGTAAGACAAAAATGGAGTCATTGACTTAGTCTCACTGATAAATACCCTGATTTTAAAATTAGGCCAAGAAATTCAGCACAGTCCCCAGGGCTTTTATTTCAAAACAGTAAGATAGGTGAACCGAGGCAAACAATCTTGTCATATTCTGTATCGAGTTGATCATAATCGTGTTAAAACCCTAGAGGCAATTAAAGTTGCTATACAGCAAAACAGAGTACTCGTAAGAGCAGAATACTATGATGGGTTTGGCAAAAAACTCAAACTTCTAATACATAGACTTTTTCATGACTATCAGAGAGGTACAGGGACCTTTCATTCTTTTGTATATATCTCCTGATTCATGTCGAACGTAACCTAACGTAGTTAAAGTTTGGTTTATGTAGAGCAGCGGACTTTTTATTTTCTGATCCCGCAGGAAAAAATGAGCGTTGCAGAGGATTATTTTGGAAGTGGAGGAATATTCAGCATCACAGTGTACGCTGGACTCTCGTTGTTTGTGGTACTAATGGCCGCCGGGATCGGCTGGGAAATGTATAGGAAAACTAGAAAGAAAAAGCAAGGAGGTGGTGAAGGTGAGGACCAGCTCAATGCTTAAAGACAATAACAGCAAAAAAACATATCTTACTCAAAGTCACTTTCTGATGAATACGGCAAGATTAAGACGCATTAGAATTCTGTTGACACAGTCAAGTTTTCCTGAATATGTCCCAGCTGTGACCAGTTATCTCAAATCCTAACAATTTTTTGCCTGATTTGAAAAAAGCGAATGTTTTAAAGACCATTGCACAACGGAGCATGAAATAATGTACTGCAGAAGGATATACATACACTCACTTTAAATCAACTTTTTATTATCAGAGACCAGCGTTACGACTGCTACTATTGTTCTGGAAGACATAGAGACCCACCCTACCCCTCGGCTATCGTTTGGCCAAGAACCTTCAGAACAACTGGTTTCCAAACACAGCATGGAGATCATGAGCATGGATGAAGAACTCAACAATTTTCGCCAGAGTTGGCAAGAAAGGCGTTCACAAATGCTAGAGCGACATCAACGAGAACGAGTAAATGGTGCTATGAATGGGGAAGGTACCAACTCCCTGACCGCGCACCAAGAACCATGATTTGAGCTGCCAACTTAGTTTAGATCTGCTAAATATCATCTCATAGATGTCTTCTTGACTCAAAAGCTTCTAAACATGAAAAATAACGGTTGTAGGAACCTGTAACGGTACTCAATGCTGATATCGGCTTTAACCAGCGCATGCGTGTTTCATCGCTAATTGAATAACGTATCACCGCTTACAGAGAATGGACGTTGATACACATTTTCTTGGAACTATGTGAATGTTACTAGAGTTAAAACTTATTCAGTTCTTCGTATTTCTTCTCAGTTCTAGTTTTTTAATTTGATATTGTTTTCTAGGCAATTGAGCATTACATTGCTAGATGTCTAGCCAACCGAGCAAATGCAATAAACATCGAGGCCAAGAATACATGTTGTTAGTTACCCTACTGTACATGCTCTGCAATTTGGTGCAAAATCTAAAAACCTGACATACCATTACTGTGACTAACTTTAACCTTAAATTAAATAATTTTGTATGAGGATTACCTGAACTCTTCCGAAGATTATTGAACATCACCGCTGACACTAATTGTTACTGGAATCATCTCAACACGTCCAAATATATTGGCAAAGTTTAACCGAAGACTTTTGAGGATTTTTGAGTACTTCTTCTTTGATGAATCAATGCTGCTACACAAATAGCCAATCATTGGTTAACAAGTTATGCCCATTTTTCCGACGTTAAAGGTTACCATAGCAACAGCACATCTCGTTAAAAACCCCTTAAGTTAGCTTTAAGCCCTTATATTCCACAACTGAAATGTAAGTAAATCCTGTACAATTACTCGAACTTTCACGCGTTTACTCACTTATTATGACAGAAACAAATTACGAACGCGCCTTCATTAATTAAACTGTTGTGCAAATTAAATATTAATGCTCTCGGCCAATCACAAAGAAGTAATGTTTCTAGTCATATATTATATGAAAAGTAATCAAATGATTTTGAGTGCAAGTTGGAATAAATAAACACAACTAAAATTTTCAAAGACTGAAAAAAATTGCTCGAGCTCATAAGGCCAGTGCAATTTGTAGTCTTTGAGAAATTCACGAGTGCTTATTTATTCCAAATTGAACGAGAAAAATCATTTGATTACTTGTTTATAATATACATGCAATTTAATTTCAACTTTCTGGATTGTTTGGGATCAATTGACGCGCTCTCAGCCAGTCACCATGCTGACATTTTTACAGGTACATTACTCGGTAGGAAACTGAAGAAAACACGCGAAATACAGTGACGTGAAATTCAAAAGTATAGAAATCCTATTACTTATTGCTCTCGTTAAAAAGGCACGACAGTTACATTTACCGACTCTGTTAAATAAATATAACATTCACGAACGATATAACGTGAAAGGTGACATATTTAATAAGGCAAATAACATCTGTCAGAAAGATTTTTCACGAGGAAGTAATAAAGTCTCTGTTTATTTTTGTTCTCTGTTTCGCTCATATCGGGAACTGATTGCAATGGAGTCTAGAATTTGTTTGTTTGTTTTGCTTTACTGTTTCCTCCATTCAGTATGTCATTAATATATTCTACACGAAGTGCATCTACCCAATTTCCGCGCGTTGTGATCTGTTTTTCAATCTTTGTTTACACTGACGGCTTGCCTTTTCTTGCAATTCCAAACACCATTTCAATGAAGACCGAATCATATTTAGACGCTTGATAAACCGACCCATGAAAGGATGAAGTTTCCATGGGAGAGGAAACGAGACAATTGGAAATTAGAATGAAAATCAAACTGACAACGCTTAATTAAAACTTAATCATAGAATCCAAATAAACCTGCTTTCTCTTGTCCACCAAATAAATTGCAATGATCTTACCTTTTGTACGAATTTCATCAACTAAAAATCATGGTTGCTGAGATAATCAGTGGGAAAGACATGATAATAACTTCATAGCAATCAAAACGATAACATCTACCGTGAAATCGTTTCAGAAAAACATAATACAGACTCCATGGTAACGACAAGTATGTTTGGCAGTAACCCTAGGACGGATTAACTCAACTCCAAGCAGATATGCAGATACGCAGTTTCAGTTAAGCCATGCAGCCTGTTAACAAAGCACCTTCGATCTTTCAAAGATAGTTGGAAAGCATTTCAAGCCGCATCCTCGGGTATACTTCACCTTAAATGACTTCCATACTGTACTGAAATGCTGCATTTCCAAGTAAATATATTAAGGAAGACCTCTTTGCGGCACAGCAAACATTAAAACAGCAATATGAGCATTGCTAAGGAAGCTTGAACCCAAACTGCACAAGCGTTCCTTTGTATGGCGCCTTTACAAGGAACCCATTCATTGTGGTTTCTTGTAGTTTCTAATGTTATTCTTGCTATCACTTCAACGTTAGGTAATACTGTGATCTTAGCTGCTCTTTGCAAGGAGTCGTCCCTTCATCTTCCTTCCAAGATCTTGTTACGTTCACTGGCGCTCACTGATTTGTCTGTTGGGATTCTCTTGGAGCCACTATTTGTTATGTTTTTAACCCTTTGAATACCAAACTGAAGCTAAAAAATACCGTTTTTAACCGTTTAGTCAGGTTTTTTTAGCTGCCATGACGCTAAATAAGCCTAAGTTTTGTTAAGAAAGCTTCTTTTTACTAAAAGGAGAGATTTTTCGAGGATTAGGCACAAAATTGAGCAAAATTTCAATTCGGGGCATGCGCATAAGCCAAACTTTGGACTTTTTCTTTTTTTTTTGCCATTAACCGTTCTCAATTTTGTTTGTTGCTCCCTGTCCTTTCTGTTTTTCTCGGCCCTTTTACACTGGCTACCTTTTGCGTTGTATGTTCTTTCTGGCTGCCGTGAAAAGTTGGATGTTAATTACGGGCGAAGCCTAGAAATGGACCTTGATCAATTATAGGCGTAGTGGACCATTTTACCACCGTTTTTGCACCAAAACTGATAACGTTGTTTTTCGATTTGCGACGTCGGAATGTCGTCGATATCTAAACCTGACCATTGTGCGGAAAGGCCTAACCTAGTGCTACTATCTGCTTATCAAGAATATCTGATGACATTTAAATTGATGACGTCACAAGTGGTGCAAAGAGCACGACCATTAAGTGGCCGTATATGGCCACTTGGGCGTCAAAGGGTTAATTACGCTGGAATACAAAAACTGGAATCTTTGTACCCAGATTGCTTTGACGATTCTCGTTGCAGCTCAAGTGTTCTGTAACTTATCTTTGCTCACACTGACAGCAATCAGCGTGGACAGACTTCTCGCCTTGTTACTGGGCATAAGATACAGACAAGTGGTTACTTTTAAACGAGTTTTAATGTTTGTGATCTGTTTTTGGACTTTAATCACTTCTCTTGCATTGGTGGTGGTCTGGGACTACCAGTTTTCTTTGCACTATAACTCCATAGCAGTCTTATTCTGTTCAGTAATCTCAACATGTTGTTATACAAAGATCTTCCAGAAACTTTACCATCATCAGATTCACGTTCACCAAGGACAACCCAACGGACATGCGCCGTTGAACATAGCACGATACAGAAAAACAGTGTCCAGTACATTGTGGGTACAGTTGACGCTAGTAACGTGCTACCTTCCAGCAGGCACAGTTGTAGCATTAATGGCCATCAAAGGAATAACTCCGACTCTTGGTATTGCTTTGGCGTTTCTTGTTACTGTTGTACATTTAAACTCAACTCTGAACCCGATCCTATACTGTTGGAAGATAGGGGAGGTGAGACGAGCGGTTGTAGAAATACTGCGACAGACGTTTTGTTTGTCGTCGAATTAAATATTTTGAGAAACAACAGAACACTTCACAGAAGGAAGAAAAGACGGCAGGGCAAGCAAAACAAAACTAGATATTCTTCTGGCTCTTTACGAGAAGTGCGTTTGCTGGTCCGCTACAACATGCGTTGTGTGTGTTCCTCCCTGTGCAGACACCCCTCGTTGGCTATCTACCTTCTAATATCCAACTCGCGCTCGTGGAATAATTGTTCAATATAGCATGAAAATCTTGGTAGACTTGAGGAAATCTTACAACACTACTTTTGTGAATAATAGTTATTGGAATTTTGGGAAAATTAGAGGATTAAACTTCTATTTTCCTACAACACGCCGAAAGTGATGACTGCAGAAGGATGTTTTAAATGTGTTCTTTATTTGTACTCAGAAATGTACTCCAGCAGTTGTAGATCATCGATTATTTTAATTTAGGATTTTTCAAAACAGAAAAACTGCGTGACAGAGAACATTGCAACCGCGTTACAGGTGAATTACTAGAGCTTTTAAAGCAAATTCCATATGAATGAGGAGGTCACAAGTCATCCCGTAATTAATCTAAAAACTGCCGCACAAAAAAAAGGTCTTTACAACTGTACAAATTATCAGATCAGCAAAAACTCAGCAGCTGCTGCCTGCAGCCCAGATAGTTAACTTAATTCTTCGAGTTTTCTTTACAAAAACTCCTCCTCATACTAAAAATACTTGTTGCATTTTAAAAGACGACTTCGCGTCCCCTAGTTGTGAATTTTGATTGGTCGCTCAAGGAAGCTATACCGTGATCGTTTGGGAGCCTTGTTAAGATGGTCCAGGCCAAGCCAAGGTTTGCTCATACTCTGAGACGCTGATAAATAAACAAGACAAGTCTGTCAACCA